GACAGGCTTCGCCAGCCTCTGGCTTCTTTGTGTCTCCTGCATAATAGAGCAGCACAAACTGAGCAGCACACGAGCTCGCTCACACCCGTGGGCAGAGGACACTCTTTGCAAATGCTAATAGTATTGTAGCATCCTGTCACCCGGTAACACAAAAAAGGAGGTTGATTTTCACATGAACCAGAACGGGCCCATTGTACACAAGTTTGTGACCAACTGTAGCTGCACATCAAGAGCCCAGCCAATCAGAGTACACAGCTGGCGAAACACACGCATGCACCCACGGGACCTGGCTGGCACTGGGTGCATGAATGACGTCACAGACGTGGGTCTGAGTGGAGCTGGGCTGCAGTGAGGAGCCTCCAGAAGCATGTGGGGTCCCAGCTGTGTTGGGGAGAGCTCTGCAGTGTCTCTGTGCCCAGGCCTCAGAGGCCGGTTCTACCCTGTCCTCATGGGTCACTATGAACTAGTTTACTTGATGCCAGGGTGGGAGTCAGATGACCTCTTCAGGTGCCAGCCCTGATCCAATACAAGGGGAGTTTCCCTGGAGTGTGGCCTGCATTGTCCCTTGTCTTCCAGGGATAAAAGGAAAAAGAAGTGCGCAGAGAGGGGGCCTGGCTACTGGGAACGAAGTTCGTCCTCTGGGCATGGTTCCTTCACCGAGAACCTCCTGGACGCAGGGGAAGATGGCCACCAAACATGAGCAGCCCTCCCCGGGGCGTGCCCCGTCACAGTTGTGGCCAGGAGAGCCGCCGTGGAGAAAACCTGCCCCTGCCACTGGCACAGCCTATTTAGCCTCCTGGCGCGCTAACTTGCGAAAGAGTAAGTGTGTTAAAGATGTCCTCGTGAGGTGTGTCTGTTACAGCAGCACCAGGTAACTACGGCGGGCGGGGAGGGACAGTCATTTAGCTAAGTGCAGGCTTATCATCAGAAAGGCGTTTTCAACTTGAGACGCTGAGACTCGCTACACTAACTGTGGACAAGTGACATGCAGCTTTGGGGATCAAGTTTCCCAATCTATAAAATGGGGATGGCCAACACTGCACGAATGCGCTAACGCAGGCAAAACAGGACATGCTGATTCCTGTGCTCGAGATCCAAGTTCTCTTCTTCAAGATTTACAAGGAAAACTGAAAGTCTTGTGGATCCAAGATAGGATGCTGACCAGTAAAAAGGCTTCGGAGGGTTTCCTAGATGGGAGCCTCAAACGCTAGGGGCCAGTTACACTACACTTCTTGGCGTTCTGTGTTCTGGGCCCCCAATAAGAACGCCTCTCTTTGGAAAGGCTGCACACGTATATGTATCGGTGAATGCTCTCACCCCACCCCCTAAACCTGCACCAGCCTCCTCTTCTTCCTGTTCGTGTTGCTTGTGGTCTTCGGGAGGTGGGTTCGTCGTTGCCACTCGCTGTGTTCTTGAGATCATTACAAACACACTGAGTGCAGAAAAACAAGTCTAATTTGGCATGGTTGGGAGTTGGGGTACACCACCTGAGCATCTCTATCCTGTGTGAGTATGTCCAATGAACACCAACAGATTTTTGTCTAACAAATATGCTGTTGTATTATTGGTTGGGAAAAAATGTGTTTTCGGTTGTCCAGTCCACGTGGACTCGTGGGGACTCCAGGTGTGCGGAGCAGGCCTGCTCCCTGCGATTCCCAAGGCTGTGACCTTTCAGAAGTTGACCCCCAGGCCTGTCTCTTAAGAGGCCCCTGGGCAGGTTTGAACAGCCAACTTTCTGACTCATGGCCAGGTGCCACCCAAACTCCTTTAAACATACTCTAGAAAAATGCATTTTTCAAGAGAGAAATGAAATAGTGAGCTCTGCATTTTGATGCATGACTACTTTTGTTAAGACACATGAAAAACCGGCGACAGGCTCACCTCATTTTATTGCATGCGGCTTTACTGAGCTTTGGAGTGACTGTGGTTAAAAATCAACAACAGCCTGGGCCACCCTGAGTTGGCTGAGTTAGTCTACTGGCACCACTCATCCAAGAGCGGGCGCTCTTACAACATCGCAAATTCTCCATACTATTTATTACACACTTTGAAAATCAGAAGTAAACAACTTTTGGATGCACGGTGGGGGGGTGGGGGGTGGGACCAAGGGAGTTATGCAACTCACTGCTATCTCCAAGGTCAGCCTGTAAAAATGCACCAAGAATTAAAGGACCTGAATTAATTCCAGCACTCCTGGCAGTTGCAGCAAAAGAATCTATGGAGTTCTTCCTCATTGTCAGAAGGAAGTAATTTGCCTAGAGTGGGAAATGTTGCTAGCCCCAAATTAGCTAGCAAATCCTTGTTCTAATGAATGTGAGCAATCACAGAAGCATGTCATTCATCTTTCTCCAGAAAATGTGGTGCCTTCAACTGGAATCCCTTGTCTGCAAAATCCACCCCCCACCCCCCTAAATCCCGCTGCAAGTCCTACCAGAGCAACCCTCTAGGTCTAAGAAGGGCTCCCAGGGTTTCTGAGGCTGAAAATCTTTGAAGCAGCCTCATCTCTCTCCTGTGCGGTGCTTGGTGAGTTTGAACAACAGCTTTTGGGTTGGCAGTCAAAGCTCCGGGCCACCATGTCACACACAGGTCTCCAAGAGCACAGTATAATGAAACGAAATACAGTGGAGTTGATCTATTCTTACATTATTCCTTCAAACGGTTGACGTCTCGTGCGCTTTCAGCATGTGCCCGATCACAGTCAACCAGGGCTGTTTCTGTTAAGTGGATGCATTCTGCTTTCCGTGCGGTTGCTACATGACTGACTGCTTGACTACACGACTAAGTGGGCTTGCACGCTAAGGAGTGCATCTTTATTCTTTCTTTTTGGCCACATATATTGGTGGTGGTGGTGGGGTTGCTAGGTTATCAGAATGCAACCTGTATCTTCTTCACAAGGTGCCAAGAGCTCTCTTGGAGGACAGGGGCAGCCACGTGGGCTTGGGTGTTCCCAGGTGTGTGGAGCTCACTTTATTTTTTTAACCAAGATATTTGAATAGTCTCAAATATTTACATAAGAAACGGGCTAAAGTTGGATTTTTTCCCAGAGGATCATGGAACAATAAGGATTCTTGTTCCTAACCACAACAAAATGAACAGCTGAAGGCGGTTCAGTGGGAAAGCCTTTAAAAGGGGCAGTGTCTGCATCAGCGAGTGGGCCGATGATCTCACCTCGGGTGCGTCAGGTGAAGGTAGACCACGAGAAGTCTTCCTGAGAGCAATCATCAGACGATCTCAATTTTCAAGTGATAAATTCAATTATCATTTCAGGGTACAGATTTAATTGAATAATCTGTTTTAAGTTTTTCTTGCCCTAAATGTTATCATTGTCCTTGGCGTTAAAAGGTCACCTGCATTCAAACTGTCCTGATATTGTCATATTTTAACTTTGAGCCAGTTTTGATGCTTGTCTTAAACCCTTGAGAGTTCTACATCTATCGGAGAAGTCGAACGTGCACAGAAAGAATCACCGTTGACACACACTAGGTCTCCTTGCTGACTTTAAAAACGCGTTTTTGTAATGCAATTAATAATACACTGGTGTTACTCACAAGCACATGGTAGCTACTTCACCTAGAGCGCTGTTAAATCTTCAGGAGCAATACAAACATTATTAACTCTTCAAATTGTGTTGTTAAGTAAAGATTTTGAACTTCAGTTCCACAAAGGATGAAAACTCAATCCACAGTAGGACTGTTTGGGCCTTAAACTAAGTTTGGTGGAATAAGTGATAGGGTTGAAACATGTCCTTGGCTTTGTACTTTCTAAAGGAATCAACTTCACTTGCAGATACGAACATTGTCATGCTCACAAATACGGAGCTGTGACTCTGGGACTGGTGTTGTTTCGGTTTGGCTAACCTGTCGGAGTTTTCAGAAAGTCACACCTACCTTTGCCCGACTTCATGCATGTGACAAGCCACAGTTACAGGCAGCCTTTATGAGCTAAGTTCAGGGAAAACTTTAAAAAAAGAGTAAATATTTGACAATCTTGTTGAAGAGCTCTATTCTTTCACGTGGTTCAATTTCTAGCCAAGAACCAGCCATCTGCCAGAGGAGGCTTGCGTGTTGCTGTGATGCTCAGCAGGTTTCAGCGGGGCTCCAGACTAAACTAGACCGGGAAGCAATGCCGAGTGACCTACTTCTGAAAACCAGCGGATGACCATGATGTGGATCGCAATAATCTGCGCCCTAACTGATCCTGGGGGTAGCACAGGGCCCGGCAGCATTGTGTCCCACGCAACCGCAACGGCTCGCAATGGCAGGTATCAGGTCTCGTCCAGTGTTGAGACTTCTGGGTAACACTCGTGACTCACTAAGGAGGTTAGCATCACAAATGAAAACCACGCCTGTCAAAGCAATGCCATTAAAAGATACCCACATGTGTTGAATTGTATTGAGATATGAAACAGGAGTCCTGGCAGCGCAGTGAGTCAGTGCTTGGCGGCTAGCTGAAAGGTGGGCTTGGTTCAGTCCGTTGGTGGGAGAACGATGTGCTGGTCTACTTCTGTAAACGACAGCCTGAGAAGCCTGGGGCAGCAGTTCCACTCTATCCGTGAGTGCTGCTCTGAGTTGGAATCGACTCCGTGGCACAAGAGAAGAAGAATATTACAACCAGCACTGACCGACTGTGAACTAGTGAAACGCTGTGGGAAGTGCACACTTGTCAGACCATGGACTCAGAGATACAGCGGGGTGGGGGTGGACATAAAGCAGCCCAGATGCACTGTCATCAGATCACTTGGCTCGGAACAACCCTCCAGGGAGGAGGAGGACCAACTGACCAGGGCTCCGTGAGCGTTACTGGAGCAGGCTGCCATGTCTTGTTTTCCATGGAGATTGGTGGGTTTCACCCGTCGATAGACCCTTGGTTACCAGCTGAGGTCTCAATCGCTGGGTCCCCCTGGCTTCTGGGAGTCAAACAGTGCCTCTACATATACAGGTCTTTACCTCACTGAAGCGCAGACAATTTAAAATACGCTCTCCAAGAATAGAATTATAATGGGATTTACATAGCTTTTAATTATTCATTTAGACAAATGACTTTAGATCAAGCACAGGCGAAATAGAAGTTGCAGTAACGTCTGAAGGTAGTAGTGTGAAGGTTTAAAAAAAATGACACAAAGTTCATTCACAGTGCACAAGTGAACACAAGTTTTACATAATTATATAACACATAGCCATGACTGTTCAAAATGTACGACAATTTTCACACACATTTTGTCTTGCTAAACCGAAGCACATTATTTGCTCAGGAGGCAAAAACTCCTGCTTTGAGCGCAACTGGAAAGCTACAGAGCTGTTTCTTTTCACAGAGAAATGCTATCTAAACTAAATCTTACCATTATTAACCACCTGCTTTCCCATTAAACCTACACTCCTGTTATCGTACGTGAAACGCCCCAGCTGCCAGGTTAGGAAGCACCACTCCAGCTACGCTCCCTACACCTCAGTGGTACCCCTGTTTACTTGCCTTTTGGAAGCTAATTTCTTTATGGGAAGGTGGCTATCAGATTAAAGCCTGGAAAACCAGAATCTATGCAGAGCAAAGAATATAATTAAAGCTACTAGAAAAGGCAGATTGCCCCACTTGTAAACAATCATTCATTTCCTATTGATGCTGTTTTTTTCAAACTGACACTCTGATCAAGTCCATTTTGACCCCACCTATTTACAACAGTTGCCCATAGTTTGCTTACTTCGTTTTTTGCACATTCATACCAAAAAAATTCAGATTTCTGTCCCAGTTAAAGCTTAACTTATATAGCCTGAAAATCCAAGATGGCATTTTTTTTTTGTTTCAATAAAAATAATTTCTAATTTTTGAACTACAAACATGACACACAGGGTTACCGGTGAGAATCAGAATTTTATTTCTTTCTATCAATAACATCTACTTTTAATAAATATCTAGCTTTCTAAAAAAAAAAAGCATGCTTAATATGAGATCATCTACAAAAAATTATATATTCTTTGAAAGAAATTATATTACTGAGAAAGATGGGGGATGTCTGGATTCATGAAAATGACACTTTGAATAATATTAATTTATATATTCTATTTATATATTTAAATTACAATACTGATCTCTTCAAAGAAATGCAGGTGACCACCCCTTCCTTTACAAAGAAATTCATAGGAGGGGTGCAGGGGATGTGGTGAGAGGACTGACTCCCGCAGCCTTTGGCTGGAGAGAGGTCTGTACAACCCTAGCAGAGGTCTTCTTTTCTAGACCACAGCTCACAGAAATAAACACGGCCTACTTCCTCTTTTCTCTTACAGTGGTTGTGTTTTACAACCACCCGCTCCAGCAAGGGCCATCCATACCTGCAGGCTGCCTGGGGGAGAGGGCGGGTTAGTGTGCGGAGCACTGGTCCTCTGCTCTTGTCCGCAGCACAGGTGTCCCGCGCCCACTGAGCAACAATGGATACAGCCACTAGCTGCTTCAGAGGGTCCACTTTCATTCAACAGTAAACAACGACTGTTTACTGAACTGAACTGTCAATTTCCAAAATATTTGTAATGTCCTTCAACTTGGGAGATTAAGCATCAGACCTTGAACAAGGATGCACTGATGTGTAAAAGCAAAAAAAGGGGGAGGAAGGGGGTGTAAGGAACTGTTACAAAAAGCAAAGCAAAACAAAACAATCCTAATCCCAACCCCGGGCAATGGACTACTAGGTAAATTGTAAAATAAGAACTGTAACATGATGGCCCACTTTTTTGTTATCATAATATGGCTTAATGAAAAGGCAGCAAAGAATAACCTTAAATGAAACAAACAAACAAACAAACAAACAAACAAAACATTTTAAATCAAAATGGCATATCTCTTTGCTCTCAGCCAATCAAAAAGTCTTTTAAGTCAATAAAAAATATATATAAAACACATAAAAATGATGTGAAGGGCATTATTACAATCGAAATTCAATGAGTTAAACTTAAGGTCTTCCCTAGACACCCAGCTAAGAGAGGAGGGTCAGCATCATTCTAAGTGTTGAAATCACATCGACATTATAAACAGCTTTATGAAAGACTGCTTTCCCCCGATGGCCTGCCTATCCTGTTTGGAAACTGGAAATGAAACCAATCAACCCATTATTATCTCAACTGCCTCATCCTGTGTCAGAATCCAACAGCTCCGTCAATAGCACTGTTAGCAGAAAGTCTGGCTTAAGTACACAACATCCAAAATGAATTAATTTCCAACGGGCACAGGAGTACAAGACGACCAACTGAAACGCGCGGTCCGAAGGGCTCTGGCCTTAGCCTTCTCAGGCAACTCTCTCAGTGGTCAGTGAAAAAGGTTGGAATCTCTGATTTACCTTGCAGTTAAAAGCAAATTAACCTATCGGACGGGTTCTTCAGTCAACTGTTTTTATGTCCCGTGGTGAGTGTAAAGGGCACTCCCACAGTCCAGTAGCTCCCAGCATACAACACCACAGATAATGTCAACAAGTGAGTAGGCTCCCATAACTTCATGTCTCCACTCACCTCGCTAGGCTTTCATTCAAAACACCTGGCCTTCTTTTTCCGGAAAAGGCTCGCAGAGATTAGTGGCACCAGTGCTCCCACAAATGAGGGGATAAGACAAGCAGGTCAACAAGTCCCTTATTTTCCAGTACCGACCTTAATGGCCACCATACTTATATCATCGCAATTTGTCACCTCAAGACAATAAAACAGGGTGCGAATGCTGTATCCACTGGTCTTCCACTCGACGGGCAACCGTGGTTAAGGCGTCTCTACTATGCACACGTGATTTTATCCCGTGACTTTATTGTATGTTTATAAAGGGGAACAGCAGAACAAAAAGAGGCAGGACAAAGGACTCTGGAGGAATTTTCTTTCTTCATATGTAGGCAGAGAGGCAATGATGAGTGGCATTCTGAAAAACAAAAGCATTTCACAGTTAGGTTTGTGAAGACAAACACAACATTTCTTGACAAGCTTCACTGAGACTACTGAAGCACACCTTCTTGCACTTGCTAGTTTGAACAGAATCGTTTAAAATGTAACCCAAGTATTAGCATAAGTCCATCTAAGATTACATACACATCACAAAGAATCCTGTAATTCATTTTCTTACAGAAAAGGAGTAAAAGACCTGTTATACTACAATTGACAGGTAGACAAAGAATCTCTATGTCTGTTTTAGGTGTAAACATCCTCAGCAAGAATTAGAATTACCAAAAAAAAAAAAAAAAAGAATTAGAATTACAGATGCTTAACATTTTAAATGTTAAATATTTTAACATTTAAAATATTTACATGTTAAATATTTTTTAACATTTAAAAAATATGTTAAGCAGAGGAGCACTACATACTAAAGGCCTTTAATGGGAAAACATGCTTATCTTCCATCCAGCAGAGGGCTGGTGGTTTCAAACTGTGGCCCTTGAGTTTTCAGCCCAACGTATAATAACCACACCACCACTGGAATGTCTCCAAATTAGCCTAGAGCACCATTCTTCTTTGGAGTCTTGAGTGGCACAAGTGGCTAAGCGGGGGACTGTGGACCTGAGAGGCTGAGGGCTGTAACTCAAGTCAGGGACACCTTAGAAGCCCCAGCCCTGGAGATCTGTTCCCAAAAGACCACAGTCATGAACATCAGCCTACAGAGCATTGCACTTGCCCACAGGGAGTCACCATGAGTCAGAATTGATTTGACAG